TAAATAAATACATACTAAAAATGGTTTATTTTATAAATTTTTCAGATGTCACAATTAAATAGAGTCGGTTTAGAATTAAATGGCAAAAATAATTTTGAAACATGTTTAGATTGTGGTAAGGAACAAAGCAACTTCGGATGGTGTCAAGAATGCGAAATAAATGCCTTTAAAGCAAATTTTAAATATTGGACAAGCGGCAATCTTGAAATAGATAATTTTATTAGACATACTCAATTAAACGCATCTGGAAGTGTAGATTACTTGGAATATCTTGATTTTGAGCAATTTGATCTTGTAGAAAATACGAATAAAAGAGGAGCCTTTAGTGAAATATATTCGGCAATTTGGTTAGAAGGTCCTCGATGTATTTGGGATGAAGGCTCAGAACAATGGACACGTAGCGGACCAATTAAAATCGCGCTTAAAAGACTTAACAATTCACAAAATATGTGTAAAGAATATCTGAATCAAGTAAGGCATATTTTGAATTTATTTATTCATAATTAATATATTTAATAAGTTATAAACAAATTTTTGTTCGATTTTATAAGCTTTATAAATACCACAAATGTTTACAAAGTGGAGGTATTGCAGATTTTTTTGGAATTACTAAAGATCCTACTTCAACTTATATGATTGTCATGAAGTATTATGAAAATGAAGACTTGCATACATATCTTGATGAAGCACAAGGATCGCTTTCTTGGAGAGAAATTGTTGAAATGCTTTGGGAAATATCTGGAGGAATTGAGTACATTCATGAAAATGGATTAATTCATGGCAATGTGCATGGAGGCAATGTTTTAATAGAAAATGAATCTGGTTCAATCTATACACATATTGTTGAAGTAGAATTATTTTGTCCGGCTAATGGTAACAATACAAATGAGATATATGGAGTTATTCCTTATGAAGCACCCGAAATTTTGAAAGGAAATTCACCTACGAAGGCTTCAGATATTTACAGCTTTGGAATTATTATGTGGACACTTTCAGCAGGTATTCGACCATGGTGTAATAGACCACATGATGTTAAGTTAGCTACTGAAATTTGCCTTGGTCTTCGTCCTGAAATTATTGATGGAACTCCGGAAGTTTATATTCAGTTGATGACACAATGTTGGCATTCTGATCCTTTAAAACGTCCAACTGCATTTCAAATATATGAATTGCTTGGAAGTTGGATAACTGCTATATGCGATGAACCAGTCCAATCCGAATTATCTGATCAATTTGATATTGCTGAAGAGAAAAAATTTTCAGATTTAGAAAAATTCAAGTATCACCAAGAAATCCATCCAAAAGCAATTTATACAAGCAGGCACTTATATTTTCCCGAATTAATTGATTCTACTAGAAATGA